CCAGCCGGTTAAGGGAGGGGATTGTCCCGCTTTGCTCTGGAGCAGCCTCATCTTGAATATTGTGTGCAGCTTTGGGCACTGCAATATAAGAAAGATACTAAACTATCAAAGACCATCCAACAGAGGGCAATGAAGATGGTGCAGGGTATAGAGGGGAAGCCATACGAGGAGCAACTGAGGTCACTTGATTTGTTCAGCCTGGAGAAAAGGAGACTGAGGGGAGACCTCATTGCAGTCTACAACTTCCTCATGAGGGAAGTGGAGGGGCAGACACTGATCTCTTCTCTCTGGGGACTAGTGACATGATCCAAGGGAATGGGTTGCAGTTATGTCAGGGGAGGTTTAGGTTGGATATTAGAAAAAGGTTCTTCACCCAGAGGGTGGCTGGGCACTGGAACAGGTTACCAAGGGAAGTGGTCACAGCACCAAGCCCGACAGAGTTCAAGAAGGATTTGGCCAATGTGCTCGGCACATGGTGTGATTCTTGGAGCTGTCCTGTGCAGGGCCAGGAGTTGGATTTGATGATGATCCTTGTAGGTCTCTTCCAACTCAGAATAGTCTGTGTGATTCTGTGTGATCCCTTTCACCATATTTTCTAGGATTTTTCAGCCAAAAACCAGACATGGAAGACCTTTGCTATTCCTAAGTCATCTAACTCACGGACACAACTTTCTTTTACTTCCATTTTAGTCTTTTAAGCTTGTTATTCCAACACAGAAAAGACCTTCACAGAATCCTCAAAATTTACTGATGGACTGAGACATCAAAAAAAATATATGCACTCAGATATCTCTGTCACAAAGAAAGCCTTAATATTTTTATGCTCTGTCCCATACTTCACTTCAAAATAAGTTATCTAATGCAGAGCTTACATGCAAAAAGCAATCCTCTCATTTGATGAAGTTCTTAAATGAAGGAACTTTAATATATTCAGTACATACTGTTTTACAGAAGCATTTTAAAATGAGGCCTAATTCGGCCTCATTAGGCCTATCAGTCTTTTATTTCATTGTATTCTGCTGATAGGCTGCTGCCTTGCAGAGCCCTACAGATATCCTAGACAAAGCTTCTACTTTTGTATTGCAAACAGTAAAAGTTAACTCTTACATTACCCTCCATCACAATCCTTACCACCTAGTGTACTTCAGACATCCCACTCAATTTAAAGCCAGTCCAGAGTACAGGCCTGGAAGATACTAAATGCTCTTCTCAGAGAGACAGCAGTTTGAGAACAGTGTTCTCTCCATAGATCACGTTTTGTAATAGCTTTGAGCAAAAGAAGCAATTTCTGTAATTTTTAATTGACCATGTGCCACCTCTACTTTTTACGTACTCTGATATTCATTTTACTCCCTTGAAGAAAAGGTTCACTTTATTAGAACTATTTATCATCATTTAAAAAACATTTGAATAAATAATTTCAGTAAAGACAGAGCCTCATTTGCTATGTACTGCATATATTCAGGTTTATTTATGTCTGTGTTAACAGGTGGGAAGATGATCAATCATGTTATTCTACAAATTGCTGGACATTAAAAAAAAAAAAAAGTGTTTCTTCAGCTAGTTCAACTCGGGAAGGTCATTTAATTCTAGCCCACAATTCAGCAGACAACCTTCTCCCTTTTCCCCTGCACTTCCTCCAAAAATCTGAAGGCCCTAAAACAGGATTTGTGTAGGATTTACATGCATAAATCACACACTGCAGCCCTAAAATATTTTTTTCTTCTTGCCTGCTAGATACTTTCAGAGACAGGTAACCTCCCTACCATTCACTTTCTTAAAAACTTAAAGCTTCCAAGATGACTGAAGTGTTTTTGTATACTATGCAAAGACAGCTAAAGAAGTCTTAGGTTC